ATATTCCATTCGTGTTTATACATTTTACATCCAGTTGCTGTCGGAACTGAAACTGGTAAATCCGCGAAACGTCGACGTTGTCACATGGCCGACGCGACGAGTGACACCGTTAAACCTCTGGAAATGGGAAACGTTACGGAATTATGAGCAGGCAGAGGAGAAAGGGGGGAGGGAGGGGTCTTTGCACGGCGCATAATGCTGCGTTCGACAAGTCCGAGCGGCTGTGATCCTCTTTTCATTCGCGAGAGGACAATGCACCTAGGGGAGCTCCGACTGAACGAGAAGGAAGTGTGAGTTGTTCTCGTTGCATCGATACTCGCGGGCCCAGAAGCGGCTGAATATTTTCGTATTTTGCAATCCGGCGACTCGCTATCTCGTCACGTTCTCGCCTCGTGGCGAATGCCGTTGACGAGGATCGCGATGGCTCACCTCGGGATCTCTCCTTCTTGGGCACGATTCGCGTGTTGCGAGAGACTGAGTGTTACACAAGAATGCGACAATTTCATTCAAATGCGAATTATTCAAGACAGGCATTTTAAGGAGACGCAATAGAATTGCACAGCGGGTACAATTAATGAGTGAATAACTGTTTTCGTTTCAAAATCCAATTTCGCGAATTTTATTTCATAAAATAAACGCGATATCGCCTAGAAATCATTAATGAACTGCTATCCACAAATGAAAATAACGCATTAATAGTCCTGAGACACGTCATATTTATTTATCGAATTCGGAAGCTCCGATTTATGACGATTCCTGAGCATCGGCAGTTTTAAAACACCCTATAGAGCGCCACGTGTTAGCACGATAAAAATCAGCGTGGCTCAAACCGGATTACATGCGAAGCGTATATTGATAAGTCGACTTTCCAGCGAAATAAATTCGATCGGATTTTCTACGTGAATGATAGCTATTGCGAGGAATGATTTTTCCTCAAATCCGCGGGTTTCCGAAAAGAATCGTAAAACCGATTTCCGTCTCCGTTTTACCTTTACGGGAATTTTATCATGTCTAAAATGGATTTTGATCATATTTAATCGGTGTAATGGCGTTCCTTTTTAATTCAAGCAACGTATTCTGATTTGCGTATCGCTATTATCTCGTAATGACGTTTGATATCGTGCAACCGGTTCTTTTATACATATAACCTACTGTCCTAATTCAAGCTATCTCGTCGTTTTCCTGTGCAGCGGCATCATTTATTTTTCAGGATCATTATAACTTTCTACGATGTATTGGACATTGTTCTCCGCTTTCCTTTTAATGAGAAATGCTAAACGAAAAGAATAATAATTTCAATGTCAAGGAGTGATCGTATTGTTTCAAGATTTTAATAGAAATGTTATTTAATATTGTCAGATTATTTAAGCAGAAAAATTAAAGTTACAAAAAAAGAAAACCAATTCTGGTTTTTTTAAATAATATCTAAGCCTGGAATATTTTACAGCAATTCACATTATAAATATATTGATTTAGATAAATATATTGATTAATAGTTTGATTTATTTGAATATAACTTTTACTTAATTTTTAAATTTACTTGATTGAATATGAATTGCGCTTCTAGATTTTTCAACAATCGTTATATTTACAGGATAATCGTTATATTTACAGGATACTTTCAAACTGGATGTTCTTTTAATATTAGATTCTAGCTAAATTGAGACAATTTTTTTTAGGGAAAATGTTGAAGAAGTCATGATTTCCTATAAGTTTCTAGTTTCTTTTATTAGACACCTTTGTACCAGGTTTCAAATATTAAACTTTTAAAGTAAATTCCACCTGAAATAAACCTTAATTGATGAATATAATTTCCTTAATCCTGTTAACTCTACAAGTTTAATTTATGAAAAGCACTGCTGTTCAATTACTTATAATTATTAATGCTTCAAAATTTTCAGAAAAATTGTTTTTAAGTTAGCCAGATAGTTTTCTAAAAGAACATCCAATAGGACATCTTGTATGTCTGATAAGAAAATTATAATCGTAAGAATATTGTAAAAAAATACTCATAAAAATACAATTAATAATTTTAAGAAATAAAGAAAATTTCTTTTTCATCTTTTACATTTTTGTATATGTATTTTTATGTTTATCTAGTCAAATAATTTTATATCATATGGATGTATTTTTCTTACATAATCTATTATATATGTAATTTGTATAACATTTGTTGCAAAGTCGAGACCAAGCATTGGCACGTGCAAACAATATGTTTCTATGCTCATATAATTCTTTATCAGCTGTTATCAAGATATGTCATCGCGGTATGTCGTATATGTCATTCTGTTACTCTTTTTTTATACAACTACTTCAAGTTGAATTACTCGACTAACATTGTGAAAAATGAAGGTTTCTCTTTTCTGTTTGCATTGCTATCCTTTAAATCATACAATATTTATTATAACGCAAGTATTTAACTATATCTCTTTTTCTATCTCTTTTTCTTTCATACCTTATTTTGAAATATTAATCTGTGTTGAAATATATCATCAACTTTTTATCCCAATAAAAATTGTCGATCAATGTTTAATATTGATTGACATACATTCAGATAATATTTCAATTGTAGCGAACTTTATCATGTGAAGCATTATTAATTATTCCTTAAAATTTGCATTTTTCTCTTTTTTTAAATATATTTTTTATTTTTTATTAAAACATTTTTTTTTGTACTACGTATTTTACTTTTCATGTACAATCATACAATACAATATTTCTTTATTCTAGAAAAAAAATGAGACAAAATGTTGCGTATTTTTATTTCTGTTTAAATTATTTGCAATGTAAAATCCTGATATTATAAACTAAAACATACTGTTACACGAGCATCTATAAAACGCTTAATTGACGTCAGTTACAAGGTTATTTTTAGCTCCTCGTTACAGTGACTGTTTAGAGAGAATAAAAAACAATATTTTTTTCTTCTCAAGTTGTCATCGCGTTCATTCCATTTGAGATTATTTGCATTTTCTTCCATTGACCCTGATATACATAAATTCGTTTCCTTTCTTTCTGATTACCCCACCTACTGACATTAACTATCTATATTCCGACCCTTTTGTGACGATAAGAAGAGGTTGCGATGATATTTACGATAAGGCAGTTGTTCAGGGTTACGTGGGCGCAATGGACGTGGGCGTTGTGCACGTTGGTTTATTTTAAACTCATGTCATCACGCATTATTCGGTACGCCATGAGTCAATATCGACCTCTACTTCAATCGCTCTCCTTATACTCGCTCATTTAGATACCCATAAGATGGAATGATATTCGATGAGGAGAAAGGATAAGTTATAGCAGAGCGATATTTATTTGAATATATGTAAATCATATCATAAATTTCACACTTGCAAATTTTGCAAAAGTTTCCAGTAGGTCTCTTACACTATGTGCGACTATCTACGCATAGTTATGATAATATTTGTACGTTGTAGCAACGTGATTAATTATAATGTGCAATTTATCATCGGATTATTTTATCATTTTTTTATTATGTTGCACTGTAAATAATTTACATATATATATGTGCATACCATGCAGATCCGCATTATCTATCCGCTGACTAATTTATTATATATAGTCAGGAATAATGGGATGCTCTGAGCCGTTCAAATTTAAATCAGCAATATATAAACTTTGCATTATGATACCTAAGAATTATTTTTATATCAGTGATTTATATGCAATTCAAATTTCTACATCATCGAATGCACAATCAGATGCATATGTTACGGATCAAAATGTCAATTATAAACGACTCTATTTTTAATTCAAGATCAATAATGATAACGTTGCTTGTCCCTTGACATGTTCTGCTAATCAAATTGTAGCGATTTCAATTAGTTGATGAAATTCGAGCAACCTGTCCCCTTTGTTGATGAACTGTTATCGATTTTATGTACCGTCAATTCTTTATCGGATTTTTAATACGTATGGGAGCCACCGAAAGTACTCTTATCCTGAATAAATGCATTGGATATTAATCATCGTTTCATTAATAAGATGTCGGTCAAGGACCTAGTATCATTTTGGATCATGATTCATGGACGTTCTCGCGTTTCTAACACCAGCTGAAATGCTGATCGTGCGATATGATGCGTGCGCGCCAATTTGCCTTCATTTGCATTAAACGGTATACGTCTTCCTAGGAAGTTCTTCTGCTTCTCTCTCTCTCTCTCTCTCTCTCTCTCTCTCTCTCTCTCTCTCTCTCTCCCCCCCCTTTCATATACTGTGTATATATACTTTGCGTGAAATTCATCGTCACACGGAAGATTATCTACGCACCCTCGGGAAATGCAAAGCGTTATTAAAAATGATGGGGAATTGTTGGAGATATATAATTTGCATACCTTTATTTCGACGATAAAAATGTTCAAAGTGCCATTTTTTCCACCCTAGTCAATAGTGAAGCACAGACTCCTCAGTCTTTTATGCTTTCGCGAACGTTACTTTGCACATTTTTCTTAAGTATACGGATTATCCGTAGCCGTATTAGAATTTTCCCTCAAGTACGGGCTGTTTTATAGAATGCTTTTAGCTATAGATCTTTTCATTTGATTGCGTAATTTATTTTTCCTTAAGTAATATTTTATTCTTTTTTAGCAAAATAGAGCGAAAAATATGGAGAATTTTTAATTTTTATTTTGATGATATACATTGTAAAAGGATTTTTAAATAGAGACTTTAGATTAACAAATGATTTATATTGAAACTTAAATATTAATATTAATATTTAAGAAGATTCAAAAATTGTTAATAAGTAATACTGTTGTAAGACAAGGTGGCACTGTATATTTTTTCTTTAATGAAATGATTGAGAAATAGAATATCAATTAATTTATATTCGCCTTTTGCAATTAAAAGATATCGAATGAATGTATTTCCCAATAATTAATATACTTTAAGCAATAGTGAAAGTATTGCCTGACGCAGTTTACGAAATAGCATGCGCGGATATCAATCTCAAGTTTTACCCGAAATGTCTTTTATTTTTACAGGGAGGAAGTGCAGGAGCACACAGTGAGATGGAATGCGAAGTTCGAGTTTTTATGCAAGATGAGCGCCAATGCATCCACAGGCGTGCTCGATCCATGCATTTTAAGGATATCCGTGAGAAAGGTGAGAGCAAACTTACTTTCTGTTTGAGCTGAATAGATGAGCGACTCCGGGCTGGGAGTACAGTCTGAAAGATATGGACTACTCTCAACTTTTTATTTCCGCGAACATTTTACTTTTTATCCGCTCTCTTGTGCGCACAAAATGTAACAGTGTAGAGAATCAGCGTGCTGCAAAATATCATCTTATTTGTTTGTATGTTGTTTTACATGAAAATTATATTAAAATGAACCGTTATATACAGAGAGATAGATTTGTCAACTTTGTCAACTTTGAATAATTTCGTAATATTTTTTGCTAATTCGAACAAATGCGAATATAAAACTACCTTATTTAAAGCATTTATAAAAAATATCTAAATAAAAAATATCTGAATTTATATTTTTCAAGAATTAATAGAGATTGGTACTCTTTTTCAGAAGGACCTTGTTTTATTACCTTAATTATTTTTGGAAAAATAATTAAATGAAATTCTTCTTCATTAATTTCTTTCATATTGCAGGAATTGAAAGGAGGTAGATCCTTCCAGAAATTAGGTTTTACCGACCTGAACCTGGCCGAATTCGCAGGAGCTGGCTTCTGCCGAAGAAGATGCCTTCTCGAGGGCTATGACGCGCGACATCGTCAGGATAACTCCATGTTGCGCGTAGCCATCAAGATGAACATGCTCTCCGGAGATATTTTGTTTAAAGTGTAAGACGCAATATATTTATGTTTTGAAGCAGCGGCTCATTTAAGATTTTTATTATTATTATTCCAAGATATTACTCCAAGATTGATGCCTTGAGATTAAAGATCTTTGAAGAGAGAGAGAGAGAGAGAGAGAGAGAGAGAGAGAGAGAGAGAGAGAGAGAGAGAGAGAGATCTGTTACAACATATATGTATCTGCAATCTCTATTCCCACTCTTATAAATTAAATTATACAAAACTCTTTATCTAAATTCTTTAGCTAAACATATTTTTTTAATTAAGTCACCAATCTAGCAAATTAATGTCTAAATGACTTATAAAAATTCTAGCATTTTTTTTTTTCGAGAAAGCAATTGTACGTTTCTATGCTTTAGTTATTTTTACTACGATAATCACGCTTTACATTCATTGAAAATTTCTCTCGTTTTGTTTGTCGAGAATTCTTTTGGTTAATCGATCGATTATTATATCTCCAGCCCTTCCCCGTCGTTAAAGCAGACGCAGCTAGCAGTGCCCGGGGGGGTGCAAGGTGTACCTGGCATTACCGGTGACGAGGTGACACCATCCGAGAGATGCACTAATCGGGAGGATTACGTGTCTACCGGCTCGTTGGCGGGAAGTATAGCTAGCGCCAGTAGTGGTTTTGGTAGTCTTCCCAAAAAGAGGCCCGCACTCTTCACCTCCGGTACTTTGCTCATTTCTTTTTTATATTATTTATACGCAAATTGTTTATAGAATTTTAACTTATATATACTTATATATAGAAGCACATTTATAGCTTTGTAAAACGCTAAAGAAATTATATAAATTTCTGAAATGTAAATTTTGTAAGAGAGAGCAAAGAAAAAATCCATTAAATAATTCGTATGTGATCTAGAACTTCTTAGCGGAACGGAGACGTACGACCCGATGACTCTCAGCGAGATCGTACCCTCGGCAATTCCGGTAGAAGCTCTCGTGGAAGCGCATACGGAATCGGGTCACTCGCGCAACAGCAGTAACACCAGCCAACTTAGCAAAGGGTCTGGCTACGGTTCTTTGAACTCGCATAGCCAACACAGCAGACAGAGTAGTAGCGGTGACAGTGGTCACATTAGGTAAGTCTTATCGCGCGTCTCAGTAACACTCGTATTCTCTTACGAGTAGTTTTGATATCTTCGCGTTACATACAACATACATTGAATAAAGGGATTTCAGAAGATTTACATTTTGAAGAAATTCTATCGAAAAAAAATGTTGAGTATAATCAAAGAGGATGTCCAGAGTTCTTCTAGCTTTTCATTAACAAATTCAATTCTTCATTTTTCATATCTAATTATGTTCAATTAAGACACGACGCTGCGTAGAAATTTATTTGACAATCGAAACAAAAGGAAAGATTATCGACGGCAGCACATTTTTCCTTTCTAATATACTTATAAATTATTTGGCTTTATTATTTTGTGTAATAATAACAATGTAAGCATGAATTAAAAATCAAACAGGCCTAAAATACTGCACAAAAAAACACGACTGTTTATTGCAAATGATTGAACAAATGATAGATATATTTTATTCGTAATTTTATTACAACAAACTAATGACATTTCTTTAAAATATATATAACATTTGGTTTTATTAACAAGGTACTTGAATTATAACCGCCACGCAGTGTCTTGCTTTGAATATTATAATCTTTATCTTGATTCGAGCAAATAACCTATTGTTGATTTCTTTAATAACATTAATTTTCTCTATGCAAACTGATTAATAAAACTTGCTTGTTAGCACATTTTTTGATAACTAACTTTATGCTTAAATTAATAATAACATGTCGAAATCATATCTAATGATATGAATAGTCTGACAAATCATTAACATAAGAGAGTGAATCAATGATGTAAGAAAATTTTCTGTTTTTGCTCCAGCTTCAAGCAACTTCCTCATTCTCAGTCTCTTGACTCTAACTGCGAAACTTTGGACTCTCTATGTTTTTTTTACTTTACGTATGTCTTCTTTTTTCTTTACCTATCTTTATGTATTTGAGTTTATGATTTTTGCATGCTTGTACATTTGTGTTTGTGATCTTTATAGGTCACCCTCCTGGCCGGTATGGGCACCACGAATCCCCAACTCCTTCCAAAACACGTCCGCACAACCAATCCCTACGGACTGTCAACCCGACTCCTATATCAATCCCTTGTCATCGTACCCATCTTCCTTATCGCACGTGACCTCCAGAACTCGATTCTGGTCAACGTCGAGCCCTCTCTCCTCGCGTAACCGTCTGACAGATATGGAAAATGTGTCATCGACGGCCTGCATTACCGCGAACAATGTTTATTCGGATGGAAAGCAGCAGCAATCGCTGTGCGCAATCGGAAACGGTTTTTTGAACAATATGAGCAATTCGCGACAAAATGATAATGACAATGACGCGAGCGCAGATGTTCGAGTGGCGCCCGGTATCTTCAGGATGCCCGATGTGCCACGACACTCGCGTAAGAATTACGAGAGAAGCGGCTTTGACACGCGTAATGAACGTAACGCGATGATGAGCTCGATCGCTAAAGAGAATGACCAGCAACAGAATAACGTCTTCCCGATCGCGCAGCAGAGAATCAGCGCTACGGGTTGGCTCGGTATGTCGAAGACCTGCGATTGCATCGAGAAGGGCAAAACAAGCCCGGTTTTGCGACTAGTCGATCAAGCCAGAGCCGTATCCTCTCCCGATCCTCTCCATAGGCCCGACAATCAAAGAGCTTTGCTACGCCCCGCGATGACAGCTCAAACCCTCAGGTAGGTTTCATTTATCAACGAGTTTTCAGTCAGAATTTCGCGATTTTTTTCCTGAGAGACAATCTTAATAGCGTCTCTCTCTTTTTCTCTTTCTTCTGGTTCCCTCGGCGTCTTTGTCTATTCCCATTTTAAGATCCTCGTAATGATTTCACGCCTTAACCGTATCTGACGTTATCTCGAATTTAATATCTTCTCGACCAAAGAGATATTTTGGAAAAAGGAAATATTTTCGTGAATGTTTGTGACAATGCTTAAAAATACGTTGCAACTTACCCTTGCATTAAATCGTCTCTATTTGAAGGTGAGGTCAGCTCACTTACAAATCATTAACGACGATTGTATGTCCGGCATGCCAGAGTAATTGGTGATTCCGTCCTGAACTAGCAGATGCTCGAAGCAACAATTCCTTCGGTGTTTCTCTTTCCTGCGCAATACATTTTCTATCGAGAAAGTTACAAGTATTCCATATTCAAGTTACATTCATTAGCCCTACTTTATCAGTCACTTGATTTATCGTCTTTATTTATTTATTTTCTTGGTATCTTCTTCTTATTTTGTTTGATTTCATTTACTTTTATTCAGAGAGAACGCAATGTGTGTACATATATATGTAAGTGTGTGTGTATGTGTGTGTTTGAGATAAAATAAATAATAATAATTCAATAGAAAAGAATTGAATGATGCGTTATCATTAAATGCTTGCAATCATTTTTGCTTAAATCTATCGCAAGAAAAATTAATAACATCGTATATTGATTTTATTTATTGATTTAATTTATTCAGAAATTATAATATATTTATCAGAAATATATAAAATGGCTCAACATGTAACAAAAAAATATGAAATATATATCAAATTCTAAGCATATGCAATAATCAATAAAAATTTATAAATTATTAGATAGATTTGAATTTAATGTCGCTTGATTATTTTCTATATTCTATTTTTATCATATGAATAAAATGACTCACATATTCATTAACCATGAAAATAATGCATATATCATTTCTGTGCCTTTGGTGTAAGCTAAATATATGCCACATATTACATAGTTCTTTAAATAAGGGAAATTATCAGTATTGCAGTAAGGCAAAGTAAAAGCGTATTTAGCGCATAGACAAAGAACGTGAGATCAAAGGATGAGTGTCGTTGAAAAAAATTCATTATTATTCTCATAAATAAATGTAATATAAATTAAATTCTATATATTTCATTGTATTTTAACTTTCCATTATATTTATAAAAATTCTCTATTATAATAATTTTTAATATCATTGACTTATTGTCTTATCTACTATCGCATTCTCGAAATTGAAATGAGACCCATCCAAGAAAATCCTTAACTATTATGGAATCAATCTAAATCTAAATAAAAATATAAATAGATATTTTGTAAAAATAAAAAAATGTTCAGAAAGAATTTCAGAAGTTAATAATTATAGAGTAAATGATAAATAAATTTTTAACTTTTCTCAATTTTTTCAAAATTTCTTTCATAATTCGATAATTCTTTTCAAGTTATTACGAAGCTAAACAAAGCAAACATATAATATATGTTTTAGCAAGTGAATGTAAAATATTACATAATTTATAATTGAAATCAAAAACAATAAATCTTTGTTTTCAATCTCCTTATCGATCATTTTAGTTAAGGAATGATTGTCTATGCGCATGAAAATAAAGAAGTGCTGAAAAAAGGCGCACGCGGCGGCTATGCTTCCAGTTTGGATGGCTTTGTGAATCCTTGCAGGGGTATTGGCGGAGGTCACCGGAAGTTGCTGGACGGGGCGGGGGGCAAGCTGGCTACGGTCGCCACCAGTCCAGCGGACTCTGAGGAGTCCTCATTAGGGGTACCGGAAGTCGCTCCACCGAGCTCGCAGCATCGAAACAGCATTACCCCACCGTCAGTCCATGCTTTCGTCTTACGTATACCTTTCCCCCTCACGCACATAAATATATATCTCGCTTTTCGTCTCCTATCGCAGAAATATAAAAGCTCTCACTCTCGTCATAAACAATGCTTAGCATCCGTCCCCGCTTATAAATATTGTTTAATCTTAATAATTAATGTAACTAAAGATAATTTTTACTTCCTCTTCCCGCAAGATGATAAAACTACCTTCAAATTATAGTTTACATATTGTATGTTTACTATGAAACTATGAAACTGATGGCATTAAGTCTAACATTTAAATATGTTTGATTAAAATCGGGCCAATTATTATCAAATTATTAGTATATATGTATATTCATTTATTTTAATAAACAATATTGAGGGTAGAGATGAAGTATTATCTGAAGAAACACATTATATTAGATATTGTAGTTTATTATATGGAACTGTGATAGTGTTAAGTCTAGCATGATCAGCATTTAAATGTGCTTGATTAAAATTGGGCCAACTTTTATCAAATTATTAACATGTATGTATATTTATTTATTTTAATAAGAAATATTGAAATGAAATGTCTGTGAAGAAAAACACTAGAGATCTCGTGAATAATTTATAGCATTTACTTTCTCCAGTTTCGTACATGTAAGTGTTGTAATTGTAACTTTAAAACATTCGTATTGTGGACTGTCTATAAAAACGTAATGAGCGAGTTTTTTGTCTTCCGCTGGATTATCGTAAAATATTTCGCGCGAGAGAAACCAGGGCTATTTGTTTTAATCGCACGTCGGAATGAAAGTGTGATGAAATGAGCCTTGAATTGACCAGTCGGAATTTCTGAGAACGGACGGATCTTAATGAGGCTTAAGTGCTCTCCACGCTTGCTGCGGCCGAGCTCTAATGAACGAAATCTAATTTCGCCGCGTTTAAAACGAGATGATTTACATTTTGTGGAGGAGGAAGTAGTCAGCATCGTTTAACGATGAAAACCTTACGTCAACGGAGCCCATTGTTAAATATGCTTACGCTTTCCTTGAAGGGATATCGATTCTGTCGGGCCTAATATGGTTCGGTAGGGACGATTATTTGTATTAATGTGTTACAACAAGTCTACGAACTTCTTGCTCGTTACCGTAAGATTTCGAGGAACTTCTGTCTGCATGACTTGTCGCATGTTAGAGACGCACGCACGAGACTCATGCTTGTCGCACATGGAACGTATAATTCTTCCATAAAAACTAGTTCAATGATACTCTAATGATGCATCATACATTCTTCCAACTTCGTATTTCGTAGAAATAATACAATATTTATTGTGAATTCATTCGGACATACTTCACATTTATGTAGATTGTTTCGTTATTTCCATTTGTGCTAAATAATTTCGATGATGGAATTTATGAAATCAATTTGAAAGCGAACTTTCTTTAAGCTAATTTTTGTCCTGTAAAAAAGGAAAAAATTATAGAATATATCCGGCATATTTGAATTTTATTTTCAAAAATCTAGGAACTAGAAACTAAAATTGTTTCTCAATAAAAATGAAGAAAATATTTTTATATTTTTTTACGTCTCCAATTATAGAGGTATTTAATATTGCAAATTGTAGCAAGTAATTACTCCATTCATCGAAATAGTTCTTGCCCCTTAATATATGTATATATTTATAAATTATTTTAAATTATGCGTTACACACACAGTTAAATTATAATCGATTAAATTAATTAGAGATTAATTTGACAATCGTTGTGTGCTTTTGCTTTTATCTTTTTCTATAGCAGATCGATAATCTTCTTTTTCTCTTTTCGCTAAGAAAATAATTTTATTAGTTTTATCTCGTTCTCTTATTATATCGAGTTAGCACTTAATGCTTTTATGATAATTCTCTCTCTCTCTCTCTTTCTTTCTCTCTTTCTCTCTCATTCTTTCTTTCTTTCTGCAATCTTTTTGTCTCACTTAATTAACGTTCTTTCTTCCGACTTCCGCGTATACTTAATTGTCTTGTCTGACCCGTCACCCACGTGAATTGTCTCCCTTATATATAAATTGACTTTGATTGTCCCCTCACTCGACAAAGACGCATTTATCTTTTTGTATGTTTATCGGACACTGATGTTGTACCGTGATGTTTCTCATTCGACCTTATCGAATGAACACGTTATATATATGATATGCACACTCGGCGAACATTCACCTCTTTAATCAAACAGATCCGAGCACATTGGCATGGAATCTATCATCTCGTATCAATATTTTGTAATTTTAAGATATGTTTAAACTACGCGCGTTTATTTATTAATCGTGTCTTTAACATTTTATATTTATTGCCTGTGTAAATATAATTGTACAATACATTACTAGTAGAAATCAGAACAAAATTGAAGAAATGCGTTAGATCGAAACTTTGTATCTTAGAAATATATTGTACTATTTGTGTTATGTATATTCTAAACGAATTTATTCGTTAAATTAAAATTAGGCCCTCGACGAAGAAGAAAGAAACGATCACTCAAACTTTGCCTTCACACAAGAGATTTAATGGGTTATTTCATTAAGCGTGTAATAAGTATATAATTATAGCTTATTTTTACTCATTGTTACCCGGTAGAATCGCAAAGGAACACATTAATTTTGTTATAGCGGAGATGCAAACTTTCCTGAATGTAGAAATCAATTTTTTATGATCTTCGTGAGCAACAAGAGGAAAGTAAAATTAATCGTTATGAGCCGCGTTATGTCTCTCTTTCAGATTTGTATAGCCTCTCGCGTAGCTTTCTGATTTCACCGAATGTTGGTTTTTATTTCTGCTTTCTATGCCAAAGTGCTCGCGACTTGATATGAAAAAAAGATGTCGCGAAGAGAAAATGTGATGATAATTTGTGAATAATCGTGATAATTATTCGCAGAAATCCTTCCGGCGGTTCGGGTCTCAGCGAAACTGGATCCCTGGACCGTGCTAAGGCCGCATTGGAACGTAGGAAAAAAGCGGAGGACGGTACTGGTAATCCCATCCTCTGTAGAGTTGAAGTTACCAGGCCGAATCCTGACTCTCTCATCGACGAGCTGCTTAAAGCAACGAATCTGGAGCAGACGGATCTGGAAAGTTCCGAGAGTACGCATTCTCTTCGTCATATTTTTCTGTCATGTCATTACATAAATCGGCCAAATAAGAATACTTATAAAAGATAGAACGAAAATTTTTCGTATTTTTCTTCTACTTCTAAATGTTAGAATTAAATAAAAAAAATTACGTTTTACAGCAACTGGTCTTCAACTATTTATCGCGAAAGACGGAACGGCTGCACTTGGCAGTCACGAGGTGAAGAGCCAAATGCCTGCTGGCGTGTTCAAGCAGGTAGTGATGGAAGAGAACAACAGGTAACACGAAGCCATGACCACGAGACGGCAATACCCAAGACAAACCAGCGCTACATTCTCGTTGGCCCTGGTGCCGGAGCTCGTTTACGAGGCCTACGAGCCGCGGTAGTTATAAGAGAGAAGACGACAATGTTGACGGATAGGAAATCATCGACTCGGAAGAAACAGCCAAACGTTATTGTTGTCGAATTATTCTTTTAATAGATTTAAAATTATTACAAAAGGAAAAATAAACCAACGAATTTTCGCGAATTGAATTGATATTCTTTTGTAGCGGCGATCGTTTTACTAAATTTCATTATATAGATTCGCAGAACCGACATTAACTAATCATCTTGTGATGCGCACGTAAATTGCGCGAAACGTAAATGATAATCGACAACTTACGAGATATCGTTACATACATTTCAATATTCAATCAGTTTGAAAGAGAAACATTTATACAAGAATTATCCAGAATTCCATATGATGAATAAAACTTGCACGTACATCGCCTGCAACAAACGATCCGTAACCGTCAGTCATGCGTGCGAAGCAGTTAAAGACGATGGCTGTTTGTAATAGACGAGCGAATTAGACACGCGTTTTCGAAACTAACTCAAAGACAAATACATATACATATACATATTTTCTTCCTTTTAAAACGAAGCACAATGATCCTCGTCAAGCATGCTTCACACTTGACAGGAGCGTTAGTCAATAAAGTTTAACTGAGAGGGAGATAATAAAGTGTAATAAAAGACTATAGTTATAAAAAAAAGAAACAACAGGCTAAACATGGTCAAGGTCCGACGAAACTTTGCAGTGGGCAATAACACACATCTATAGGTAAAACTTAAGCGCCAACTTTATTTATCTGTCTATAGCTGTACGACAACGATATCTCGTCACATGTGTAACGTGTACGATATAAAACTAGAGAGATAAAGAAATATTAAATTGAGAGATATTATCTGTATCGTATGATTACATTTTTATGTGTAAAAGTATTCTCAACCGCAATTTTCAACAATATTAGCCAAACGAAGAATTTCCGGTTGGTTTTATTGATGTTTCTTTCGAGAATTAAAATTTTACAATTTCTGTGTATTAAAAATTTATTTTTGCTTTATATAACATGTAGTACGTATTTCTATGTTTGATAGTATGTATGTCTTTTTTGATTTTTTTGCTGCGCTCTTTTTTCATTGACGAAATTATTGCGTGTAATTAATTAATTAAAACAGTATTCGAGTGACGAGCAAAAAGATAAAGCTAAGTGTGAATTGAAATAAACGAATTAGTCAAAGAGAATAATGTAAAATTATAATTTGTTAGATATTATGCAATGTATATATATTTGTGAAACTACAAAAGTATAGATTTACAATCTCTGTATATGATATATTGCTCTCAAATATTTTTGTTTTGAGAAAATAGGACACAATGTTATCCTTCCTGAGTAGTTTGTGGATTTTAGGTTTCTAAACTCTAAACGATTTTCTTTTGGTGGAAGTATAAACTTGGAGACATTTTTCTGTGTGATGTAAATGTTTCCCGACTGAATATATTTTATGTACATTATTTTATTATTATTGCTCGACGAAGAATGTAGATCTCCGTTTCGTCGAACCTTTTCCAAAGGCCCGGTGAATTTTTCGATTGGCGCGTAACCGGCTCCACCCGGTAGAATATATATAATCTGTATATATAATTGTAGTAACTGTTATGTAGCTAAATTGCTGGTGTTGTATACATGCATTCTCTCCGTACTCGAATAATCTATAAGTGCTACTGTATATTGTGCTGATGTATCAAAAAGTATGCAAAAACACGTGTGTTGTGTGTGTATGTATGTATGTCTGCATGTGTGTGTTACGTATGTCCCTTTTCGGTGACCTTGTCTTATGAAAAAGAGGGTCATTATGAAAAGTGTGTGTCTGATTGGTTTGGCAGACAAGTAAATACTTCCAGCGTCCGCGAAGTCCGTTTCGCAAATTAATCCGAGCGTTTCAGTCCTTGCAGTCCATCGCAAAGAGATAGAAAAAGAGAGTGAGAGAGAGAGAGAGAGAGAATAATGCAAAGGTGAAGTTGTATGCACAAACGTTTTCTTCGGAATGCTTCGAAGTTATTGATCGGTACGGTTTCTCGGTATCGATTTTGAACTTGAACGGGTAGCGAACGACTTCTTCCCGAGAATTTTCAAATTCCCGTTAATTGCACCAGTCTCAGAGAGACTGTAGATGCAATGATATTTGTCGGGTTATCCGGCGACAGATTCGTGTATCCGATTGTAAATCACATGTTTGATAAAATGAGCAGCCATTACACGCTGTAATGTTGCTGTAATGGTGCTTTTTTTCTTATAGATAGATCGATACGTTCCTTCCCGCTGCTGCGTTTTCTCTTCTTTCTTTTTACGTGTGTACGTTTCTTCTTATAAATAATATCCGAGTGCCGTTCGATATCACTTTCAATTTTATACAATCATGACTATATCATGTCACTCGCGAGTTGCATCGCAAAGGTGACTTCCAATTTTCTACTGCTATGATGGAATCTACTATAATCTCGTATATTTTATAAAATAACAAAATTTTTTTATTGTTAAAAATATGAATGAAAGGATACAATCTAATTTTTCTCTATTGATATATATCTTTATTATAAATTTATTACTTTATTATTATATTTTCTTTTTTTTTTTTTTTGTCAATTAATATATTTTTCATATTTTTTTATAGATAATGATATTGAAATTATCAATTCGTTAATTTAAGGTATAGAGTCGCTCTCATTTTTACAATAAAAATTGATTCCACCATTAGTAGTAGCTGTATTATTCATATTCAATCATAGTGATTGCCAGTTAAAATTCGAATTGATCCGCAAGCTTCCTTATGGACGCACTACTTTTTCATTCGATATATGCCGTATAGAGCCTCTTATTTATAAGATACGCGCAATACTAGGGGTTTATGGTTTCTCCGTGCGCATTGCACTCGCCGATTGACGTTAGTTAATTTATCGATCGGAGTTTCTCTCGCCAAGGGGGACTTCGCGTGCGAATTTCTCTCCTGAGTGAGAGACACTATATTCCTCATTTTTGTACGTCATTACGTTAAGACAAGGAGCATAGGTAAGGCATCTTTCTTTTGATATTGCCATTTTGGTGACATAAAGATTATTGCGACGACAATTACGCGGCCGCAAATAGCATGGAGATGTGCGAAAAATTCGTATCCCGCTCTCGTTTGCCGAAAATTACGATTCGCAGAAATCATTGATCGGAGACCTATCATTTCATTCGCTCGGCAGATATTAATGTTGTGATATTTTACACGATACTGTAATAATAGATACCGTTATTATCTGTATTATTATCGATATATATTGTATTATAACAAAAATAATTTACTTTTATTTTAGAGACGGCCGCATCATACACACACACACATACATACACATAAAAGTCAGCGGTTGTGCTTCCGCGGATCGCGTGCGAGGCCGTCTTCCCTGATTTACAATTGTTGATATTTCATCTAATCTTTACTTTGTGAGATGAATACAAAACTTCCATGTGCTGATAATAACATTCTGAAAACTACACTTGTCTCACTTATTGAAGAACCTTCTTCTCTTTCGCATTTGGGTGTATATATAAGATACGTACGTGTAAAAAAAATTATATTAAAAATTTTACGTTACATACAAAAAAAAAACAGATATTGCGTATCGGCATTTGTTGAATTATTCTATTTTTCATTATCGACACGTGTCGATAAAGTTCAAAGATGAATTTTATTAATAAGCAATTTTATGTATTCACTTTCATTAAATTAAATTTATATTTATGTTTATTCATACTATGCAAATTGCATAAATAATGAAACTGTTAATTAAAAGAGAATGTCTCTTTAGGAAAATTGACTGACCTTTTATGTGATTGTATGTATTATCTTATTTTTATAAATGAAGAGTCACGTGTTCATTCGTGCAAATGAAAGATTGATGTTCGAGATTGTATTAATAAAAAAAATTTTAATTAAATGCTTAGTTTGTTCGTAAACCTAGACTGTATGCTCTTGCAGCAAATGCATGCTCAAATGTCTGTAATTTACAATTCAATTATCGTAAGGAGACGACCTGAAAAAGAGCAATTGTATAACGCGCTTTGCGGGGTGAAAGAAGGACACATCTTTCTCTCTCTATTCATTCATAAAGGATAATTCGATGCTTGTCGCGTGCCTATGCGCTTAATTTTCTGAGCGGGATAAATTCTTTCGCGTCTGTAATAAATCTCATTTAATTTTTTTTATATGCAATATGTATTTCATTTAACATAAAATAGAGATTATAATTAAACAAATTACAGAGAGATGCTTTAAATCGCTATTCTCTTTTTTTTTCATCTCGCATTTTTCGCGTTCCTGTCGCGCATAAACAATTAATAATTAATAAATTTCCCGATGATTATACGATATCAATAATTATTCATTCTACATATATAATTTGATTCATTATTTAAAATGTCCAAACACATGTACATGCTTGAACAATTTATATAATTTCGAAAATTGAAGGGAGAGGAAAGAAATTTTATTACGTGATTTTACAATCAAGATCGAACGTTAATTTAAAATATAATTTAATTTTAAATTTATATTAATATTTGATATTTTTTCTCGCAAAACTTTGCAAACTTATGATGGTTGGAGAAGACAAAATTCGCACCGTGCTTCCTTGTTGGACGAGCTTACGTATTATTTTTACGCGAACATGCGATCAAACGGAAGAACGACGGCCTACAACCGAAAAAGAGTCATTACACTTTCTCTGCTTACAGACACAGATGACGTAATACATCCGCTAAAGACACCGGTGCATTCGTGCTATATTATGCGCCGTGTTATGCGAATGCGCTTTCACGATGTAATTTTCGCCGTTCCATTTACAGTACGAAAACAGATGCGATTTAATTATCTTAAAGGAGCGCGAGCTTGTGCTTGAGGTTTTTGGTGAAAGGCACTCGTTACGGATGGTTAAATTTCACTAAAAAATTCTCGAGCGATGTATAACATCCATTATTATTATTGTGAGAGACCCTTATTAATTTGACATTACGCATTCACATTGTAAATTTATCATCAATCGTACACTTATACGCACATTTATGCGTTTTTACGTAACACAAATAAATGTTGCGTGCATTTTTTTACCCAATTTCGTCATTACGTACAATTCGTATGTTATATATTATATTTTATTCGTATGTTATATATTAATCGCATTAATAAATGTTAGTAACTTGCATTAATGATAAATCGGTAAATAATTCCAGCGTAAAGATTAAAATTTATTGCAATTTATTATTGTTGATATTATACACAGTTTTTTGGATATTCCAAGGATATTTCGAAAAGTAAAAATAGTTAAAGCATGTCATATGTCAATAAATTTTTATCAACGTCACTTGTAAATTTGGCCAATTAATTTTATCTATGTGATACTACAATAAAAAAGTTACATGGAACTTTTTCAGAGTTGTTTATATTTTTATATGGCTAAGAGTAGGTAGGATGACGGGGAAGAAATATTAGCTTATCTATTATAAGTATTAGACCGCGGAAGTGTTTATGAGGTTTCTGTGATCTGTGTACGTTCAAAATGCGTGTTTGTGAAACTATTTTATTAACGTAATAAAATGGAAGATTTTTGTAAATAGAATGAAACGCATGCACGCGGAAACAATTTGCACGTGGATCGCATCAAACGCGCATCTCCGCATCTTTTGATTAGAAAAGCTCTCGTGAAATCTCATAAACTTCCTGGCCCCAATTACAAAGTATCGGGAAATTCAGAAACAACTCGCGCAATCATCGAACGAATGTTCCACTATGAGAGAGCAAGATATTGGAAAAAAAATTCTATATAATATTCGAAAAAGGGCTTGTCTAAAAATATCTCTCTCTAAATAAAATACAAATACATAATACATAATATATACAAAAATAAAATAAATACATACAAAAATATATACAAAATATATACATAATACATAAATGAGCCGTTTATTTTGAAAGTGACCTATCCATTTATATTTAAATTGAGTTATTTAAGAGTTTGCGTTTCAATAAAATTAAAAATATACGTATAGGATAAAAAAAATGGATTTTCAAAGCCACTTTTAAAATAAATGGCAAATATATTCTCGATATTGCAGTTATCTTTTATTTTTTTTTAAATAAAGTCCTCTTTTAAATAAAGCCTTTTAAATAAATAATAGCTTCGATATTGTATAAGTATTTACAATTCTATTCGCATATTTCTATGCAATAATAATGTTTTCCATATTTATTCTTCCTGTCAATTCTGGTGTTATATTGCAAGTCACGCCACAAAGGATTTACTCTTTAAAAGATACATCACGGTTCGCAATTACGTCACAGTTTACAATACAGACAGTTTAAGTTATGCGAACGTAAGTAAATCTGTTGTTTTTCTACTTTCTCGCAAAAACTGGACCAAAAACAATTTTAACTTTTAACATATTACGCGGCAACATCATTTATTTTCTAAACAACATTTGATATTTGATTTTTAATCATGAGTATTGTATTTTTTTAAATGTAATATATTATTACATTTATAAAAAAATTAAGAAAATAATTTCTTTGACGAATACGTAAAGCAATTTATCTTACGACAAAGAAAAAAAGAGTCTAACGTTTTTTTCATAATTTATTAAATCATTTTTTTTTAAATCATTTCGAAAAAAATTTAAATACTTTTCTGTCTTAAACACACTAGCGACATATCGCAACTAAATTCTAAATCGAAAAGATTTATTTTAAATGTATTTTTATTCTGTGAATACAATATATTTACCTTTTTTATTCAATTTGTTATTTATGTTAAAATAGAGAAATAAAACAAAAAGAAATTATTCTAAAGCTTATTTTTAATTGCAAGAATTGTACAACATATTTGTAAATTTATATTTATTTTATCTGATTTTTTGTAATAATTTCGATTAAAAACGAAGAGATTTATTTTAATGTTTTATTTTACTTTTTTTATCCTGAATATTGCATTAATTGTTTGTTAATTTTACCTTGTCAATTATGGATAGTTTTTTTAATTTTACCTTGTCAATCATACTGAAATAAATGAACAAAACTGGAAGAAAAAGTCTAAAATTCTAAAGTGTTAAATTTCACAATTTTATGTAAAAATAGGTAAATTTATGTTTTCTTTTGTGCAACTTTTTCAAAATTTTTTGTAAGATTTCTATATCGATCAAAGGTTCGTATACATAAATAATATGATATGTAAATGACGTAGTGGGATCTTGTCACGAAAAAGTCGACGTTGAAGACATTTCGCTTTCTATCACAAATTCACGTTTACTTCTTCCTATGTAAACCAGTTCTCTCCCGGTCGGCGAATCTCGCTGATCATTACGCGCGCCGTCATTGTGCAAACCAAAGGGGAGTATTCGCAAACGAAACTCCGAATGTTACGCTAGTATTTCGACAACCATCGCCTAAGGAATAGCGATCCGGAGAGGCGTCTCCGTCTTATCCAATTTCTTCATTATTCTGTTAATGCTTCTCTCATTCGACTCATCGGGAAGAGCTTACCTCACTTACGGCGAAGAGAGCGAAATCTTAAAATCGCGCGGTAACAAATTTCGCTCGAATAAAACAACCTTACTCCTTCGCGTCTCGAGATTTATCTCATGATTGGTATCAGTGTTTGACAGTTTGCAGTGTGATAGAAAATATAAAAGTGTTAATTTTTGTTAAAACTTGATGTGCTAAAGACACATCATGTCGCATCGGCTGCTCGTATCGTCTATTCTGTGTATTCTCTGCGTAAATTTCGCTACGTTATATCGTGTCTCTGCGCAAATTAATGCATCAGAAGGCAATGACATTAATAGCCGTGTGCTACCCGCTTATGCCGTCGCTTTAAGAGCCAATCTTCTCAATTCGACGATATGCGGAAAGGAATTGCAGGACTTTCGAGATGCCCTCGAGCAACGGATACTATGGAGTTTGAAGAGTTAGTAAAATCCTCAATGGTAATCATTATCGATCAGGTGCTCGAATGCAAAACCAAAAGAGTTAATTGTCAGAAGAACAATCATACACGGAAGAAAGAACTTGTTTTGAAAATATATTTAGTTTTAACATAGAAATCTTGAAAGATTATATTGCGTTAATTAAAGAAAAATATAATTGCTTGAATAATTGCTTATTTGAATAACCATTTTATATAGTTCAATCAAGAAAAGTATATTCTTATGATTTAATTTTCTTGAATGGAAAAGAAACAATGTTAGATAGAAAATAATATTTTTAAATCAAAGATTATAATTTTCTTAAAGTAGAATTAAATAATTATATATTCTTGAGGTAACAATTACAATATTAAAATAAGACTATAATATTGTTAAAATTTAAATTCTTTTAAGAAGACTATAAATTGTTGCGTATAGTATACGAAACAATGAAACGCGTAAGTTTAAGTATATAAGTTTTGTTTTGATACTTACTTTTTTTCTGTATATATTAAATAATTAAATCGTCCTATTGTATACATTTACATATTAGCTATTTCTATAAATTCTAATTCTATAAATATGAAAGATATCTGAAATAATTTTTTTGATATAGATTTATTACAAGTATAATTTATCATAGTGATAACTAGATAAAAAACAAAAATTTGGTAATTTTTTTGAAATAGATTCATTATATAATTTATCATAGTGGTAGCTAGATAAAAAACAAAAATTAGTTAAAATTAATTATGATTCGACTCTCTATTTTTCTCACAAATAAAAAAAAAATAAAAAAGGACCCAAGACAATATATAAATCCAATTTCAGTTAACTTTAGCAATTATCTAAGAGGAAAATAAAAAATCGAATGATGATAATACCACTATGATAAATTATGAATCAACAAAATGAAGTATGATAAATTATGAATCTATGTCAAAAAAATTACTTCCAATATCTTTTACATTTATAGAATATAAAAAGCCTTATTTAGAAAGTCCTATTTAAAAAGCCCTATTTAAGAAAAAAATATTAATTATATAAATGCTTTTTCCCTCTCTTTAAGTAGAATATGAATTGCTTGATAAATAGAGCAACTCTATAAGATTTAAAAGAGCGAATGCAACAAAAAATTATTAAATAAAACATGTGGATATGTGCTATATATAGAGAAGTTTCCGGTAATTCTCGAGCTGCATTCCCAAGGAAATTAGTTCAACTATTATGCAATGCATTCTATAATACATTAATGCATTATCGTTGCGATTATATCAGGGCACGCGAATTTTCATTAGAGCAACTTGCCGAATCAACTTTCTTTATATGTTACACAAGGAACACGTTTCCTAGTCACATGCGTGCCAGGGAAAAGCGTTCGTTACGCGTGCATACCATGCGATTTTCTCTCATTTCATTTCGGGGACCATGTATCTCCAACCAGTTGAAACACGTGCGTCTATTGATGTTCAGACATCGGTACATTAGCCGAGAGAGCTACGCACGCACACTCTTTTCTAGATATACAAAAATATATATCCGATAGTACTCCTGTATGTGTCTAGAATGTCTTTTAATCCTGTCATTGTTTGCTCATGTGAGAAATACTCTAAGCGAAAGTTAGTATAAATAAATTTTATTATAATTCGCTTACATACATCATTTCTTATAATCAATATTATGTCAATTATTAATGGATATTATTTCGTAATAAGTACGGAGTTATTACCATAATTCCTTATCAATAGCATTTCACCTCGATTTTTTAAGATTCTTCAATGCAAGGATCTCTTCCTGGGCGGAATACTATTGTTTTCGAGATTATATATTTTTTTCGTAATAAATAATTTTATAATATAGCAATGAATAATAACAATATTGACAAGTATATAAAAATTGGAAAATGCGAGATAGTTAAATTGACTATTTTTCACAATAAAATTATTTTGTTGATTGACTAATTAAATAAAGAATATTTGATATATATTTTTGTGTAAATAACGATTACTTTTGTTAATTAACTAAATAACGATTATTTCTTTTTTATTTTCAAGTGTTGGACTCTAGCGGCGGACTTAAATCAGGTTTCTTTTATGGAAATAACTATTGGCTTGGTGTTACTACCCAGTGCTTCGATACAATGAACAGAGAACCTCTAGATCTTTTAGACAAAGATTTATTGAATAACACGATATATCGTGATCCGCAAAAGGAATTTCCGCCTTTCAAAGTGACTTATTTCGTTGCTTATATTAGACACAACAGTACTCTTCAGTACCATTTAAATGTACCCAATGAAGTAAGTTTATAAATCATTATGAGATGACAGAAAAAGAGAAGGGCACTACCTAGAAAATATTAAGTTACAGATTAATTTATTGGAACCAAAACAGTAAAACAAAATTTACGCAAATTTTTTTATTTTTACTCTATCGTCGAATTCTAATAAAGCATTTTTGCGGTTGACCAAACCCTAGATTTCTCGTTTGTTCGGGTCATAGGTGTATCTTAAAGCGAGAAAATTAAAGTAATTTAAGTTGTCATTAAGCAATGTTGCTGCAAACGGGTTTGAACAGGCCGAATGCAATTTTAGTCTTTAAAATAGTTGTTTGACGCAATACTACAAATCATAAAAAGAGAAAGTTAGAAGTAGTGCACTCATTTTATTACTCATAAATGTACTTGTAATCTTTCGAATGATTAAACAAATTTTTCTATTGAGCAAAAAATGCATCATATATAGTTTATTTTTACAAGAAAAGGTCTGATTCTTATAAATCAAATGGGAATTTTTTGCTCCAAATGAATAAATTTTTTACATATTTAATACAAATTATCTTATTTGTATTTTTATTTGTATAAATATAATGTAGTAATAAAATAAACACGAAATTAAAGTGATTAATAATATGAACGTGTTTACAAAATAATGGTATAAAAACTTGAATAAATTTTTTTAAAAGAGAAGAAATTTCTCTGTAATAATTTAAATTAATAAATTTATTCACATGTATTTTTCTTATTCATATATTGTATTAATAAAAAATATGTTTATATACATAATTTTTTTGAAAACACAATGTACATAAATATTTAATGTGTAAAAACAAAAGATGGAAAATTAATAATAAATTTATAAATAAATCGTTTTTATTGTTTAGCATATATTACCGAATTTTTAATATTAATTTTAAAATTCCAGATACTAATACAACACATATATATACAAAATATATAGATCATGTAAAAATGCATATTCCATATATATTTGATATTAAAAAAATATTACTTTAAAATATATTATTATTAAAAGAAATTTTCTTTCAGGATTTGATTACACTCGGTCTTTGTTTACCAGCATCATGTTCTATAAGCGAATTAAGCGTCATTCTAGAAAGAATATTTCGCGATAGAGCTCTTTTAGCCAATGATCTCTATTCTATGGACTTCAAACTGATTGAAGTTAAAGATGTAAAGGATGATTATGAATGGTTATTTAGTGGTCCGATACTTCTCATCTGGTATGTCGAAAAAAAATAAAACTAGTAATTGTGTATATGATAATAAAATAGAGAGACAAATTGTCACCTAGCTTTGGAAAGAGCATAAGGAGAAAGAAAAAGAGAGTGAAACTTATACTATACTTCACATGTATTAATTTTGTTGTTACAGTGTTGTTTTAGCACTTACCATTTCCATAATGATAATCGGAACGGTGTACGATTTATTCGTGTATCAAAAATATTTAAATGCAAAGAATAAAACTACTAAGAATAAAGCTAGTGAGTATCACGCATTTAAAAATTTCTTATCTCTTTCAAAAACCTTTTAGATTATTTTAATAAAAATCAACAAAACATTTTTCATATATAATAAAATGAATCTACTAATATATGTATATATAATATATAAATATAAGTGAATAACAATGGAAAATAATATTAATTTTCTGACATTTCATCATAGCACCGTAGAAAAATTTTTATGTTGATATATATTAAACATTCCGAATTACAATTCAGATGGTGAAAACACACCCGAGGAAATGGAAATGGCAGTTTCGTCTTCACCCCAGGAGAACAGAATCGGACAAGTGCTTTTATGTTTCTCTATTTACACAAATACGAAAGCGATATTTAACACGAAGATGGATGATTCAATAGCCGTCATTCATGGCATGAAATTTTTAGGCATGGTTTGGATAATCATGGCCCACACCGTGTTATACACGATGGATTATCTCGGCAAGTGGAAAAAGAAATTATCATATTGCAACTTTTATTTTTTTATAATATAACGAGAATAACGAGATTATCCATTATTGCATAGACAATCCAGTATGGACTTTGAGAATCACCACAGGCTTGCCCATTCAGATATTGGCCAATGCAACCATTTCGGTCGACACCTATTTCTTTATCAGCGGTTTCTTGGTGGCTTATTTATATCTGAAGAACATAACGAACAAACAACGGGATGAATCGTTTAATTACAGAGCGAAGCTAAATGAGTTCTTTGTCTATGTAATGAGAAGATATATCCGGTATGTTTTTCATTATTTTGCGAAATGCGGACAATAAACAAAGACAATAAACGCGATAAAATAAACGACACAATAATGAGCGAACTCAAGAAGAAAAAAAAAGTCCCAACATGTGGATGATATAAAATCCTTTACTCTTATTCTTTATCTGAAAATTTTCATTTTAGATTGACACCGGCTTTCATGATGATGGTGGGAATACTGCAATTAAACTCGGCTTGGTACAACAAAACTTCGCAATTTTACATGGACGAGAGACCGCATGAAACTTGCGTGAAATACTGGTGGAGAAATCTTTTGTACATAAATAATTTGTACGAGCGCAAGGAATTGGTATGCAAGCGCATTTAATTAACATCGATCTAATATTATACCCAGAGAAACATGATAAAAAAAAATTTTATCCAAAAATACAACACAAATTTTTTTATGCATCCTCTTACAGTGCATGAGTTGGAGTTGGTATCTAGCTAGCGATATGCAATTCTTTGTAATCGCTATAGCGCTACTGATTTTGTCCACCATGTAAGTTGATTGATCGATTGTCTCAATCGTGCATTACACGATCACGACATATTTGATTTGAATAAATACGAATGGTAAATTTCAGATGCTTTTACACAGCTGCTTTCATATTGATCGCAATTTTAATAGGCACGATTGTACTCAGCGGTTATATTTCATATATCTACGAATACATTCCAATGTGAGTTAAAAAAATTCTATTAATCATTCTAATATTGTAATAATTTTTAGGCGAAAGTAATTAATTAAATAAATGCCTTTTTTATTGTTACAGATTAAGCGAACAATACAGACTTCTAGATGTCTTATACTATCCGCCATGGGTAAGAATAGGTCCATATATTATTGGAATAATTGCAGCTTACATTTTAATAAATCTAAACAAAAGGATAACCTTGAAAAGGGTAAAGTATGATTTATACTACTTATGTAAATTTGTACTACTTATGTAAGTTTAACATTAAAAATCAATTAAAATAAAATAAAACATATTTAGAAAAAAAAAAAAAAGAGGAAGAAATTATTCTCATTGCGCAATATTTTAAACATCAATTTCAGACAACCTTAATTTTATGTTGGAGCTTTGGCAGCTCTTGCAACATTTTCGTATTATTCGGCCTTTACAAACGACACATCTCTGTTCTATCAACTGCTATCTATGTCGCGTTAAGTAGAACTATTTGGGCCATAGGTATAGCATGGCTTGTCATAGTGTGCTGCACTAAGCACGGAGGTTGGTTCATTTAATAATAGATAACTTTTGACAAATTTACATAAACAAAATATTTAACAAAGTTACTGTAATATATTATTGTGTACAACTTACATCACCCATTGAATTTCAATTTTAATTCACGCTTCAACAAGCATTGTTATGATGAATAATACATAAATCGTTGACTTGGAAAAATGTTATCCTTTTATCATTTCAGTCTTGCGATTTTATTTATAGGTATCATTAAGCAAGTGCTATCATTCAAAGTCTGGATCCCTCTTAGTAGACTCACATATTGCGCTTACCTCTTGAATCCTTTCATCATACATGCGATTCGTCTGCATGACGAGTCGTCCGTTCACTTGGAGTTTCTGTCTTTGGTAAATATATAAAACACATAAAAAAACAATATGTCCGATAGCAACGGCTTATTGTCATAATTTTTGTTTTCAGGGAACCATGTTTATGGGACAAGTTGTAATTTCTTATTTTTGCGCTTATGCATTATCCTTAATGGCAGAATCGCCATTTGTCATGCTAATGCGATTACTACTTCAATCTCGCAATAAAAGAAAATATAACAGACGCGAGATTATAATTTCGCATACTAAAGTGTGAAAAATATTGTTAATACATAATTAGCGTAAGTAGTTCAATTAATGTCGCACATCTCTGAAAATTACATCCTGGATAAGAAAATAAATATTTTTAGACAACATACAATAATATCCCGCGAAATTTCGGTATTGAAGCTGGTTATATAATTTACATTGATCCAAATTATACGGAAGGAGCCTTACACTTAATACGGCTGCGGTGAATTCATTAAATTATAGACAAATGCGCATACGAGTCTAGATTTATCTTTATCGAGTGTGGGCGTATTATACATAGCATCCACAGGCGGAATCAGTCAAAATATCTTATGGCTCAAGTATAAGTAGAATCAAAGTAGACGAAGAGTTTACAGATCATTTACAAAACTACAAAGATTATCAGATGATCCAAGTTTCCAGCGGCGCTATGTGTGAACCGGGGAATGTATTCTGGGCGGTGCTGGCGAAGTTACAGACCGATTCGCTCGAGAAGCCTGTTCGCGCCGGCCTTCCTCCAACTGTTTTTCGAGTTGCTCTTTTAAGACTAGAAGCTCCCTTATTCTTTGATAGACCGGATCCTTGAAAGGCGATGAATATACATGTTTTAACAGGAGAATATCCGTTTCGTAAACTATTTATCGAAATAATCTTAGATAATTTAACATACCTGCTGCCGCATGCTGGGATTCCATCTGCAGTACAGACTCTTCCACGGTTTGATGTACCGCATACTGGCGATTGGCATTAGGACAAGTTGATAATTCGTGCCAGACCGATAAAGAGGATTTAGATAGAGAGGCAATTGACTGTTAGTATACGACCAGAGAGAGACTGTTCTTTGCTTCACTTGCTCTTGTACTCTTTCGCGTTCACTGCAAATTGTTAATGATGTTACTCCTGTAACATTATTGGAAGTATGAAATAAATCTATATAATATGATAATACCTGCTGAATAAAAACGTGCCGAATCTGCAAGAGTAGAGATGATCGACAATGGTAATTAGGAAATGTTCGTTGAATTCGAAAGCGTTCGGAAATTGCCGTGTTATTTGCCATACGCAATCAATAAATTGTAGAAATACCGGCGATCTATCTGCATCGCTGTGATGTTCGTCTCCATGGCCTATCCTCTAAAAAAATTTTAACTGTGAATATAAACAGTATCATATAATATCACAAAAATGTTTACAAATCGTGCGAGTTCTATACAGACAACTTTAAAAAAAGTTTGCTATCGTGATACCTGTTGAAATTTATGTCCAAAACTAAGCCACTCCTTTTCTATTAGAACTTCGAATCCCTTGACCGTTCTATAATATGGATCTAACATTAGCATGGCGAGAGCTGTAAGCTAAAAAAAAAAAGAGATAATTACAGTAACATATAATAAATGCAAATTTAAAAAAATAATTAAATACTTAGAATTGAAGCATTTACCTGTGCTGTTCGATCCCAACCATCGGAACAGTGAACCAAAACGGAAGTCTTGTGATTCTCGACTTTATCCACAATTCTTACGGCCCCAGCAAGAACACATTTGATATGTTTGAGCCACATAGTCGATTCTATGCCTGACAACCATCGAGCTTCATCGATTGTGGGGAAACATAATTCTGAAACAGAATATAAATACATATGTATGTATAATATAATAATAAAAATGCATTACATTAATTAAAGATAAATTCTGACGATACCTTTTAATTTTCTGAGACTCTCTCTCATGACGTGAATATTGTGAATATCGAGAAAAACCAATTCCGCGTTCTGATAAGCGTCTTCGCTCTCGTATCCGCCGCCTTTCGCCTTGTTCGCTATCGCGTTCGGCATCGGCCGTGCATCCATAATGAAGAGTTTGTGACTTTGTGCGTTAGCGTCCATTATAAGCTGGACATACCTTTCGTCCTCGCGACTCCGTTTCCCACCGACACCTACCAGTGGCTGTGCACAACGAGTTATTGTCGCTTGACTTTCTGGATGAATCCACGAGAGGACTGGCAGTCTACCTCTACTTCTAAAAGACGCGGATGTTCGAAGATCCTCGTCAGTAGCTGCAGCAGGCACTGCCCAGACAGCTGGATAACTGTCGCACAGTGAATACGTGTCATTGATTTTGGATATTTTCCACATATCATTATTTACACCCTAAAATTCGACGAAAACAAACGTTAAACACAAACTTTTGTTTACTAATAATGTTATATTAAACTAATATTTTGTATGTACTTTTGAATTAGCTTCAAATTTTAGATCTAGAGCGTCAATACATTTCTCGATATATATTACATACCATTCTCTTCAATTCTGCAATAGGCTCGTAAACGTTCCAACCATTTTCAGAGAACGTTTCAGAATATTCAAAGGCAAACAAAGGTAACTTGTGAGATAATGGAAAAGAATACTGTTGCAGTTTTTCAAACACATCTCGTCTAGAATGATTCTCTTGCTTGTGTGCAAATCTGAGATTCCTCATGTCTTTACAAAATACTTCTATTCCGTAAGAATTCTCCCCTCTACTCGATGCACCACCAACTTTTTCGATTCGGCTAACAACGCCCAACGGCACTTCGACAATGTAAGGCGTTTCTCGATCTATACTACGAAAATGGAGCTTGTAGTTTGTTACGCTAAGAATTCCTCTGGCAGGTCCCGAATAAGGACATAAATATGTAACTTCGTGTGGAATGCCTTGCATCCGCTCTCCATTCAGAAGTGGTGGTCCCGTGTCTCCTCCAGATAAATTCTAATCAGAATAATGAAATAATTGACCAACCACATAGATATTATACAATAAGAAACAATACAATATTTTTTCTAGCATAACTTCAACAGAATCAATGATACAAGTAAATATATTGGAAAGTAAAAGTGAAATGATAGGGAAATATTTTTTTATGCAACAGAACATATTAAACTTTAATATAAATAACTTTCATCAAAATAGGTATCGCATACAAATTAAAAATGCCATAATTGCGCAAAGAAAAATGAAAACTGTGCTGAACTTGAAAATTTACTACACACGACTACAAGACTCACTTTTACTTGATTATCTTTTTTAGCTTCCAGAGCAGAGACTATATTATTATCTGTTGAAGTAGAGCTTGAGGAAAAACTTTTTGAATGCGATGCTTTTTCCCAGCTCTCCTAAAGAAATTGCGGATCCATTTCAACAAATAGAATGTACTAGATACATTAACGGCTTTTAATTTTAATCACAATCAACATTTTTGTTCATACCGATTCTTGGCCCATTTTTGAATTAAGTGAACTGCTCTTGCTGTCCGAGTTGAGAGAATCTGAACTGGCATTCTTCGAGTTACTTTGTTCTGCACTAAGAAGTTCTGCGCTGCCTCTCTTTTCCATACTTGTAAAGATAGCTCCAAATTTTTCTACTTTCGTTGCGACAACATTCTTGTGTCAATATTTCATTACTATCCGTAGATTGAACAATCTATTTTCACCTGTACATAATGAATTACATTTTAAAATGTGAATGATAAAAATAGATTAATAAATTAACGATGTTAATTTCTTTTAAATACAGTAATTTCGAAAATGTTAAATTAATCAAAATAATGCACTGTTCGAATATTAAATCGGGAGGAAAATTGACTTATCAAGTCCAGACGAATAAAAAAATAAAAATATTAATTATTAATGGAATTTAAATATTTTTGAAACTTTATATCTCTGCGAGACATAACCTCGCGAGGCTCGCAAAGCGAGAGATAATACAACGATAAGACAGTGTCGGTTGATGAGCAACGAGATCGTGGAAAAAGGCGGACTACCGCGAAACTTACGAGGGGAGAATTCGAGGGAATGGGAACACGAGAAAAAGAGAGAGAGAGAGAGGCCGGAATTGGGGAAACGAATCATGCCACGCCCGGGGAGAACGAAAGTCGTTTTTTTATTCCTCGAGGCGCGAATTGTCGATCGCGTCGATCACCTGACAAACGAGCTGTCACCTGTCTGACACACGTACCTCACGCGATACTCGTATCCCTCGACTGATCGCTCCTGTCAGCGCAACGGTGTACGTACCTTTGACAGACGCTGCCATCTTGCAAATAATCGCCGACAGGTGATGCTGCTGTTGCTCTCGGCCTCGACTCCACGTGTATCGCGCGCACCTGTTCGGAAGATCAAGAAAGTCTTATTTCATCCAAATCGTGGAAGAGGCTAATTGAAACATCTCTAAGTAAGTAAACTTTTTTTCTTCATAACTTTTCATTATTTATAAAGTTTTAATAATTTCAGGAAATATACTTGTCAGATGAATTTTAGAGAAACTTTTTTTCGCTTATATTGTGATATAAGTGCGTGTTCTATGAGTGATTTAAACTACCTAAGATCCATATACAAGTCGCCGCAAACGAGATACTTAAATATTTGTTGTTTGATTCGAAGCATTTAAATAAATATTTAACCAATCATGCGTTTAATCGATGAGCTCATCAATCAAACGCAATCGCTTTGATTTAAAAAATAGCATATAAATAGATAACATCTAAAGTATTTTAAATCGATAAAATAATTCCACGAATTAGCGATATAATAAAATATAATTCCAGTAAATCTTCAACAATGAAAAATTCATTTCCGTTACTGTTATCATTTTAGAGAAAGATCGATTTATAAAATTAACGAGGAAAAACGTCTTCGTGAACAAATAATTCTTTGTGTCATTAAAAAATTTTTCAAAAACGGACTTCGATAAAAGCATTTTGATATCAAATTTATTTCAATGCGATGTCGCATGCATAATAAGAACTGATTCGCTTCGATACGAAAGAAGTTTCCTCATCAACAGGAGCGTACGCTTTCTCCTTTGGCGACTAAATGCGATTACATCCGTATCGTACGGGTTCCCGGATGCCTAAATCTTATTAACTGTCAAATCGGATTACACGCGAACTCTGTTCGGTGCTTGTTATTCGCACTGATAGACGGTCACAACTCCGTGAATACCGAACTACTTGTAAACCGATCGATGAATATTAAATTTTGCTATCAACGTGGAATTTTCAAAGTACCATGAAAAATGCAATTAATTCAGAGAATGTACGGATTTGAAATATAATCAATCCATATGTTGTACTATAAAAAATTATATTTATAAGTATAATTAAAATTTGTTTCTTCTATTATTAGAACATATTTAAAGTTTTATATCTTTTATAAAAAAGTTATAAGAAATATTGACGATGAAAGATTATTAATTATGCAATTGAGATAGAATTCTCAAAAAAAATGGCTAATCGAACTCTACACTTAATTTGAATTGGACTTTGAAAAAAATCTGAAACTTATCATCTTCAAGAATTTGAACAAGAGTTTCTATATAAAATTATATAAGATTCAACATCAATATGTACAAAAAATACGCTCTTATATAAAGAGAAATATATTTCAATTGATTTTGTAGACCATGTAAGTAAACACACGTTCGATGCAAGAGCGATAAATTGTAACCGCGGCAATTGCAGTCGTTATAAATCTCGTATCTTTCACGTACGATTGCAACATACTGTTATTAATTTCATCGTCAGCACTGGCAATAGGCTAGGTAGATATGTAGGTAAGTCTAACTGCGAAGTTACGCTGTCACTATCCATGCTGTTATTGCGACGTATTAGCGACGATACTTGTTCCAGCTTCTTGAGTCATTCATCTGCAAAGCCAACGATAAGCGCGAAAGAGACCGCAATTGTTGATGTATAGGGGGAAATGTGAATTTATTTGTAAAAAAGGAGGATTGTTCGATCAAGAACAAAAAGTAGAAAGATCGACAGTTCCAGAGTGATGCTGCGAGTTTGATTATGTGTATATTCCATATGTATATATAGAGCGTAATCGCGTAACATGAAATATAAAATTCTCATCATCAACTATATTATATATAGTTAACTTTAAACATGGTCAACATATAAATATACAGTCATCACATTAAGTTAAACGTATCCATACAATATACGTACAGCGAATTTATACACAGCGTATAATTATAAGAATCTTTTAATCTCTTTCTTTGTTCAATTTTTTATATGCACTTATGTATCTTTATACACGCACCCACATGTATCCACATGCACATACATACTTTCATACATACATTCGCGTACACATACATATATATTCGCCGTATATAATATACATGTAATATACAAAACGCCGGTCGCGTATGCTTCCACCCGTGAAATACTCGGGGAGTACGTGGAGACGCTACTGGTTAGAAAAAGAGGAAATCAGAAATCAGGAATTAGACGAATAAGATATATCGCGTACGCGCATTCCGAGTCCTCGCGTCAGAAGAACAAAGTATTGTTTCGGGCGGACAGCGCGATGAGCTTTTCCATTTTGCATTTGCATCGGCTCGCTTGTATAATATTTTGGCACTTGTAGCGAAGAATATTCCATCTCCTGTGCACGCGAAACGGTACTTTGCTCTTCTCGTTCCTTCTTTGGATGATATTCTTTCTGATCGGATGACTTAGGCCACCGTCGATGCATGCTTCCCAGAGTCTTGTGGAAATCATTACCGAGAAAAAGATTCGAAGCGCGAAAGCTTTAAGGAACACAGAGTACGATTCGCATTCTCATTGTCCGGTTCATTCTCTTCGTTTTTACTCTCCTTTATCATCATCTTTCCCCCTTTTCTCTCCTCCTTCTATTAGTCCATCACGCAGAGGAAGCGTCTCTCCGTCTCTCTAACGATCCTCCTCATCGGGGGTATGTCTCGATTCTCTCCGAGAGTTCAGTCTTATCTCGTCGATCGCTGCTCCCATCCTGGTCACGTCATCTGCGCGGCGTTGAAACCCCGTCTTCTCGCGGGCGCGACGAAGTGCTGGGGATTCGCGGCGATCTGAAAGTGCTGAACGTACGGATTGTTCCTGAGGACGTTGCCGCCAGGCGAGGCAGCCGAGTACTGAGGCGCGACGGTAATTATACCGGTCTGTTGCAGATACTGTTCGCGATAGAGCGCCTGCTGCGTCACGTATTCGCCGTTCACCGGATTCTGGCCGACGTAGTGGATCTTTTTCGGCGGCGGCAGCTGCTGCTGCTGCTCGCTGCTCACGACCGAGCAACACTCCTTACCGTAGCCGTCCTGAACGTAACGCGACCCGATCGGTGACGCGCAGCCTGGCGGCGTGGCCGTCTTCACGCTCTGGGTCGGGCTCTGCGTGATGGACTCGAGCACGTGTCGCGGCATATTCGGCGACGGGCAATAGTGACTGCTGTCCTGCAAACCGTCCACGCGATTCGCATTACGCATAAAGATCGGAGCGCTCTCCGGTCTACCGCCCACTATGTTCCTCATGCCCTCGCGGTCTTTGGCGCTCAGGCTCTGCCGGGGACTGTTCAGCGCGGGCGCGCGGCTCTTCTGATTAGACGACAAGGAGGTGCTGTCCAGGTCGGACACGCTGGACCAGGTAACGCTGGCCAGCTCCCAGCGGCGAAGCAGACTGGACACTCGTTCAGCTTGATTGGTCGTGTCGAGGCTCTCATCGTAATCCGGGCCCTGAAATTTGACAGAAAACTTGCAGAAAAAGAGAGAGAAAGAGAGGGGAGGGGTGGAGAAGAGAGAAAGGAAACTAACGTTTCATTTAGGAATATCTGATGATTGACGTTATATTTTAATATTTACCGAGGAAGAAAATAGGCTGGAGTGCGCACGAAGATCCGAGAAGCACGTATCGCGATGGTCTAGTTAAACTTTCGAAAAGATGAAAAGCTGCGCGATGAATAGCGTTAACTTTTTTCATCAACCGCGTGTAATTTTAGCGAGTGCTAATTCACGATCGAGCGCTTCTGATTAAACTTCCATCACGTGCTCGTCACTCATCTGCACCGAAAATATATCCGTGCAAATAATTAGGCGGAAGTCATTCTCTAATGCATTTTAAATCTCTCTAATATTCCTATCTTCGATGCGATACGACTTTTCGATTAAAGTTCTTTCGCCTTATTCGGAGTTTATTGCAAATTGTTTCGCTATGAAAAAGAGTTCGGGTGAAAAGCTCATCGATCTAGCGTGGCTTATAAAAGATTCTTTGTACAAAAGTGACAAAGAAGAAAGTAATCTATAGCCCCGACGTGTAAATCTCGAACAAAAATAGACGTGCAATCGATGAAAACAAATATTTCAAGAAAAAGAACTATGGCGATTGTTTAGGCAAAGTCGAATATTCTCTTTCTCTCGAATACATTAATTGAAAAAAATGTAATATTAATAATATAATTAATTAAACGCGTTTTAACAAGTTTTCAAAGTTTTGAGCAATTAAATGAGATGAATAATTTATTTTATAATGATTCACATTTTCGCGTTTTTCGGTTCCATATCATCATACTTTCTATATTGAAATAAATTATGTTATATATATATAATAATATAATACTTGAAAGCCTTCAGAATTTTGCTCAATTCAATCAGCAACGATCTTCAAGTTTAACATTGTCGATATTCAATATTGTTTTAATTATAAATTATTCGTATAATTGCATAGTATATATTTTATATTTATAACAATATTTTTCATATTATATGATGATATAGAAATAATATAAAAGTATAATAACAAACGTGTCCTTCTATACGAGAAGGATTCGTAATATCGCGAAGATAGTTATCTCTAGATTTCTTGTAAAATCGGCTTATATTGTTCTTCGAGAGAAAGACTGAAGAAGGAAATAGGAAATTGCTAACCTTCCCATAAATAGTAACCATTTCTTTCCAGATAAGAATGATTAGATTTAAGTATCGCGACTTACGTTCTCAATTTTCTCATCGAGCATCTTGAAGAAATCTAGCTGGCTGGTGGATATCTCTCTGAAAAATTCACGATACGCAGGAAGGTCAATCATATGCGATAAATTATTTGTTATTTATCAAGTATAATCTCGACGGCAATAAACGAACATAATAAACTACATATACCTATATATAGACCATTTATCACGATACATCACAAGTATAAATTATATCAAGAGATTATCAAGAAATCTAGCGAAAAAATAAAGATGCTCTTGGAAAGATAAAAAAATATCTATTTTTTCACATTCTGTTTTAATATCTTTTGCAATTTTTAATTTTATTATATAAAAAATATACTTTTTAATATAAAATAAAGATGCTTTTGGAAAGATAAAAAAATATCTATTTTTTTCACATTCTGTTTTAATATCTTTTGCAATTTTTTTAATTTTATTATTTAAAAAATATATTTTTTAATATAAAGAAAAACATATTTATTTGCTTAAATAAAAATATATCACAATGTTAAAAGGTCCTAATTTTCAATTTGCTCAGCTCCTGTGATCCCTTTAATAAACTACTAATTATATGCACGCTTGGGGCGAGATTTGAACTGTATTAATTAACACGACTGTTCGAGTTTCTTGTCGGAAAAACAGTTTGGAATATCAACAACAAGTACCCACATATAACTTTCGGTTAACTGTGTTGTTGTTTTGACAACTGCCGTCGTATATAGCTATTATGTAACAGCGTGCACTTCAGCAGGCGATTATATATTTCTAGCAGTTTCTTTAAACAAAACTTTAAATTGTAAAAAGTTTAAACAATCATACGTATTTTAATACTACGTTTTTGACAAAGCTTTCGAAATTCGAATTACGCGATCGATATACATATATGCTCATTCTCTCAAAATAAACTTTACACGTGCAAATATGTGCACGTTTGTAGCAAATGTTTGTACAGTTATATAATTATAGAATGGTTTAAACTTCGATGCTCGAATGTCACTTTATCTGAATTAAGTGGCGAGGCTCTCTCCGCGTATCACATTCCGTTCAGACTAATGCAAAATATAAATTCTATTAATATTCATCATCGAGTCACCTGCAAATTCTAGCGCTATTAAAAAACAAATATACGATTTACAAATGTAATAAATGTAATAAATTCAAAAAATATTAATCGAAAAAGATCTGCTATATCTTTTAAAATAACATCGCCAAGTTTCGGACTAAGTTAATCCGCGAAATAATTTTTTTTAATAATCATCCTTACGCCTGTTGCAGCAGAGGTCCGCCCCCAGGCGCGGTCGGTTTCTTCTTCGCTTGTCCCTTGGCATCGACGCCGCCATTTTGGTCCTCGTTTCTGTTCACCTCGACACCATTGTTGTTCGTCTTGTTGCCCTTGACGTTGCCATTTCCGTTCTTCTGCTCTACAGACGATGCGTTACCTGAAGCACGAAGAAAAAAAAAAGAGACGTCAGCAGCGGCACGACGAAAGGATACGCCGTTTAAGATTATCATCCGAGATTAAGGACCGTAAATATCCTGAACTCGAATATATAACGTCCTTCCGACAAGTCCTTCGTCTTACACGTTCAATAACATCGCGTCTACCGTCAGCGACTCGGCAATATCGTCCGGCACATTTTTATCGTAGATTGCGACGACGATGAATGTGACACAATGTCGGAAAAATTATGGATTTTAACGCGACATTATACGGCGCTTTGTCACGCAAGGAATTCTCAAGGAAGACGCGAATTCCGAGTTATTAGATGCGAGTAAACAATGAAATTACGACCGCCTCTAATGACATATGTAAAACTGGCATATATAATTATAGAAGCGTATTAGCACGAACAGCTGTTTTCATACTTTCCTTATGGACAATTGAAAATTAGCTTTGGTAAAATAGGAATATATTCTCCGATTTAAGCACAGAAAAAAAGGACATTCTTGTTTTGAAAATATATTTAGTTTTAACATGGAAATCTTGAAATGAGATTATATTGCGTTAATTAAAGAAAAATATAATTGACTGAATAATTGCTTACTTGAATGAAGCCATTTTATATAATTCAATCAAGAAAAATATATTCTTATGATTTAAGATTTAATTTTCTTGAATGGAAAAGAAACAATGTTAGATAGAAAATAACATTTTTAAAACAAAGATTATAATTTTCTCTAAAATAGAATTAAATAATTATATATTCTTGAGATGACAATTACAATATTAAAATAAGACTATAATATTGTTGAAATTTAAAATTATTAAATTCTTCTAAGAAGATTATAAATTGTTGCGTATATACGAAACAATGAACGCGTTAGTTTAAATATAGAAGTTTTAACACTTACTTTTTTTTCTGCGAGGGTACATATATTTTATTTTTATCGTAACACGAATATCAACTAAATTTTATCAGAATAATTTTCTATAAAAATCGTGTAATTTTTTGTAATCCTATTATAAAATTAACATTTAATCTCTCGCGTAATCCATTAGCTTCCTCGCGTTCGCTTTCTCTCGCATTATTGTTCGCTAACGATGTGAAAAATATTTCGCTGAAAAAAATGCGTACAAGATACAGAGCGGATGGCAAAGTTCAACCGTACAATTTCATAAACACGTTTAATCTTATCGGCGACAAACGAGGCGGCTTGACACTTTAAAGCCTCGACCGCCGTTCATCACGAATGTAGAGTAGAATCGTGAATGGAAATAGACCTGTCGTTAGCTTAGCGCGAGAACGAACCGCGTTTAGGGTGTTAACTAAAAATAAATTGCGCCAGCGGTTGGAGGAGTCGGAAATAGAGTAACGCGCGTACAATTTTCAGCGATACTGAGTGCGACGCGCGATCCTGAAATAGGATAAACGCGAAGCATCTGGAGCACGATAATTGTATCATCGTCCGTCTGGAATTAAAATTAGTGCTCTATGGATTGTCATGGATTAATTAAACGTGCGCTAGCAGTTTCGCCAATCGAGCGAGCTAAGTGTCGCAGATGTTTAACACACTAATTTCGATAATTTATTTTAAACGAGGAAAACTTGACACAAGTTGTAATTCGGCACAAGTATGGCTACGGGCCAGACATTATAACGTTGAAGCCTGGATCACCTGTGGCACTTGGCCAATTAATTAAAAATTGCAAGTCAGAGATATTGGCCGAGCGTGTGCCAAAGCTATTCTAAATTCAAACAAGAAGATTGTTAACAGATGTCAATTTTTATGTTCGCGAACGTACCGTTTATTAATCCACTCGGATTAATTGCGACTTATTGTTTTACCGAAGTTTTATTTATATTGAAGTACATGAAAGCCACTGTGTTCTAACCGATATCCTTAAATATATATATATAGCGTTTATCGCGTTTACAAGATTATTAATCCATTGCGCAGAAATTGCGCAGAAACGACGAGGCTATTATTTTGTCATTAAATTTATCTCACAGATAAAGATATGCCATATCTATACTTATATTTGAATCACGCTTCGATAATCGCAGCGGAGATATAATAAACGTAACAAAGACACAATATACTTTTATTCGTGATTTTATGCGTCTCGAGTGAATCTAAAATTTTTTTTTAACAACCGTCAGCTGATCATGCGGCCTCTCGGCAATAAATTATTCTGTAATTTATGTGCACGTGCGTCGCGTGCACATGACGCAACCTTTTGCGGCAAATCGAATTAGAGCGCGCTTTAACTCGATGCGACGCGAAAAATGCTATCGTGAACCACGATAATCGAGACGCCCACATCGCCTCCATTGAAACGCACTTAATTTCTATAGAACAGCGTAATTGGGAGAGTGCATTGTTCTCCCGACTGATGAGTTTAATGTTCTAAGGGCCGGTCGCATTAACGGTAATTACGACTGATAATTCAAGCTCGATAATCGCTCAATTCGTCTCGTGTAACGATCATAATAAATATAATTTACGTTATATTTCGATATGAAAAAATTGAAATAACGCACTCGAAGCCGAGCGATATAAATGAACGCGAGATTAAAGTCGGGGCGCTCGTTATTGTGACCACGTAACTCTAGAACGTCGACACTCGATCCCAGATAATAATCTTTTCTACGGCGATGACACTCGGCGCGCGATATATCGCCGCGACATGCAAGTAGCAGTTCCCCATTCATTGGCACGCTAAGCCAAGCGGCAAAAGGAGAATGAACTCGCATCACAATGAAACACAAATAACCCTCTCTCTCTCTTTCTATTCGGGACACGGGCGTGCGACAACAAGATGCGTTGTCGCGAGACGCACGTGCTCGGGGCCGTTAGGTGGGTGCAACAAAAGCACGGACGCGAGATAGCTGTCATCTCGAATTACGCTTATCCCACACAGCACGAGATCTACGCCTCGCCGCGATAATTCCATATACGGGGTGTTTTGCAAAAAAGGCGCTTTTCCTTCGGAGGTCGATTTCTCTCAATTTTTCTCAATTAAATTTTTCGACGATCAAACTTTTTTCTCGATTATTTTATTAAATACGATTATTAAATGCGATATATATTTTTATTAAATGTTTTAAATATATTAAAAGCAAAATGACATTCGAATAGTTTAAGCTACTTGACATGAATGTATCTACTAGGGTTATGAGAGATGCTGTTAAATTAATTAAACTATCACCTTTAACTCGAAAGAATAAGATTCTATTATTTATATTTAAAAAATTTAAATTAAAATTTTTTTTTGCTAATTAATTAAATTATAACATTAATTTTCCATTGTGTTTATATTTCGAAAAAGTTTGCATTTATTAATTATTCCTTTTGCTGTCTCTCCAAGACGAGACCTCTGCTTTCGTGAAAACACATATGTGATTTTCGTGACACCTCGTACGTAAGTATCATGAGATACAGTGCAACGTAATAAATGCGTGCGTCAAAGTAACGTAATGTAACGGCCATGTCGTTGCGTCGAGGGTATTTTTAACGATATTCGCACTCACGGAGTTATATTGCGTTTCGCGTATCAGTTGATAACGTACAGCCATGGACGTAGGAAAAATCCCGTACATTCGCATTGTAGCCGTAAATAAACCGATTTCGCATTTACGGACCCGAGTCGTGTAAGGAAATACATCTCTCTGCAATAGAGAGAACAGTTTAATTAACAAATACCGCTTCCTTACGTACGAATATTAGATAAATAATAGAATAGTTTATACTAAGATAGAATCTTTTATTATGTAATACCTTCTTAAAATAGACGCGTCACTTGTAGTCAAAAAGAAACATCAGTTTTGTAAGAATGTTGGACAAATATCAAAAACAGTGAAATAGTGAATATTAATACACATTTGATTAATATACATTTATATAAAATAGATTTTATAAAATATAATAATAGCACGCGAGAGAGAGACAAAAAAGAATCAGGTATCAAAACATTTGTAAAAAAAATTGTTATATTTAAATTGTAGTAGCAGTTATGAGTGAGCTTAATTGAAATGATATTTATATTACACGAGATTTTTGGAATAAAACAATTGTATTCATCTAACAATTGTTATACTTTTTCACAAGCATTTCAATCATTTGACGTATGTATTTTAAATTTTTGAATCGCAAAAAGCAATTAATTATCAAACTTCCATATATTTTTTAATTTTTTTTAACAACCATATATTTTTTAATTTTGTTCATAATAAAATCTTACGAATTAAATTATTAATAGATCAATTCTTATTTTTTAGCGAAAGAATATATTATTAAAGAATGAAATATTGTGCAGATATTAACAATAATATAATGTATATTTGTTTTTCTTAAATTCTTCTTTTCTTAAATTATCAAATCAATTTCAATACAGATTAACATTATCAAATATTTAATATTTAATTTAAAAACTATTAAAATTATTCAACTTGAATATTAAAAAATTCGAATAATATAATTTATTTGCTTCATTTCGATTGTTTGAAATGTTTAGAAAAATATTTATAATGTTATCAGGAACATATCAATATTTTGTATGTTGACACGAATCATGCGTGAAAATGCAAATCACATGGATGTTCTGGATGGCAATTATCCAAATATTTTTCCAAACATTCGACCACAGTTAGAAAATTTCTCAATCAACAATCTTACACAACATTTTTATAGGATCACTTTGAATTAATTTCACCAGGTAAAACTACAAAATATACTTGTAAGACCGTGAGTAGTAAAGAAAGAATATCGAAATTACAAACATTAAATAAACGAGGAGGTATGGGAAGTGATTTTTCTTAAGATCGACCTTGGTGGTCTGTCGAGCATGTTTAATGCACGGTGAAGTTAAATTGAGACGAACGCCCTTTAATTAGAACGCGCTTTCATTTTCCGTGGACGATTTTATTTACGAGCTAACGGCCAACAAGTACGAATGCCGCAACGAATGAGTCGAGAGTACCTCACAAACGGAGAACGC